ACGCGTCTTGATTTGAATTAAATGGCAGTGTCTGCCAGGCAGAAATTATGGCGCGATCATACGATCATCGTCCCAAAGGTCATGCAGAATACTGAGGTTGAGCTATTTCCTAGAAGATTGCCTTCCTGCACTGAGATGCTGAGTCGGAAGACCTTGAATATGTGGGCTTGACTTTTGTATCTATGCATTCACGCGCACGCGTCGCTCCTGCCTCATGCTGTGATAAGCCGGTCGATTAAAAATATGACTTGCCGATTCGCCTGCTGTTGTGCACCACCAAGGCCACACAGTCGGCGGCACGTCGAGCTTCTTGTCCGGTGCTCAGGCGTCGAAGTTGGCTAACTCCCCGACTCTGCTGCATAGCTGTGCACTAACTAAACAGTGGATGCAATGCTTTATCGAAATGGTGTCTTCTGCACAGTCGTGGCCATGTCACCACCCCAGTTGCATTCCGAAGTCCTTCCAATGAGTCGATTCCTGAATATGGCACCGCCGCCAATGGCTTAAGTCGATCAGTGAAGCAGACTTACAAAGTCGAGCAGGGGAAACTCGCTGTGGTCGAGCAGGGGAAGCTCATTGTGGTCGAGTGCGGGAAGCTCGCTTTGGTCCAGAGTCTGGGATGGCAGTAGTTTCATGAGGAGGAATTTATAGGCTGTCGCCTTATGGCGCACAGCCAGAGGTTGCCGGTTGAAGCGTCTTGTTGCCGGTTGAAACGTCTTGCACAGGGCCATCATTAACGAATGATTGTTTTTTTTGTTATCCGGATGCTGTGTCCCTCGGCTGCTGCGGATTCTTCTCTCAACTTACTGAAGTCTGTTATTCTAGGTGCTGTGTCCGAGGCCTGCTACAGAGTCGACCGACATGGCCATGGTCCCGACGAATGCTGAGTATGTGCCGAGGAAGTTGCAAACAATGGCGATAAACGCTTTGAAGTCCAAGGCCGATGTCAAGGAAACGGTGCCTGGGTAGCTTACTGTTTACTTGCGTTGCAGTCAATAAGAGTCGAGTCCATGATCATCATGCTCTAGGCAGGAAAGGCCTCCGTCAACAGTAGCTTGAGTCTGAGTCTAAACTGAATGAGTCAGCCAGGTGCAACAGACACAGCTGTTTCTGAAGTCGCCGAAGACTGCCACCTCGGCGGGCATTGCCAAGAATGAGTCGGTCCTCGAGTGTTTTGTTATCCCAGCCTTCTTGAACAAGAAATTTGCCACCACAAACATTCTCGAGTATGTGCTTTACAAAGCAGCTCACTTATACGGTGCATCTTGTCTGGATTTCAACCTCATGCCGCCTGACTGGTTTTTCTAAGCCTTTCCTCTGTGTGATGTGTGGGTTTGGCCCATCAGTGAGGTACAGCAGTCGGACAATGATCAGCGCGACGAGGCCAAAGCCATCAAGAAGATGCTGAATGTTCACCGTCGTGCCCGGACTGCATATGGGTTGCCATCAAGTTCAAGTCGTGAGGCCGTATTGTTTAAACCAGAAGTGCTGCCTAGCGCTGCTAGACCCTCTGGATGCAACAGCGGAGAGAGAGAGAGAGAGANNAGAGATGGCTGTAGCAACTCCTTCGCATTCAGGTCTTGCCGAGCGATCTGAAAGATGCGCAGATGTGGCAGTTGAGCGGCTGGCAGTTCCTTCCACTGTATGATGACTCTGTGCTCTGACACGCTTGAGCCGTGCTCACAGCCACGAATGGCCAAGGTACGTTTGCTGCCACATGGGCTGGTGCGTCGGCTGCGTCGAAGGGGCCAAGGACAAGGCAGACAAGCTGCCCAGCCCGACGAAGGTGGCGCGGGAGTCGTCCAAGATGCCCCAGGAGCCNNTCCAGGATGCCGCAGGAGCCCGCCACGGCCAAGGAGTCGCGGAGGATGCCCCAGGCCCAGACGCAGTTCAAGACGACGTCGCTCCGCTTGCCAGGACCGTCCGTGGCTCTCATATAAGAACTCTGCTGACTGCTGATTCGGCAATTGTCTGGTGCAGGAAACCCAAGACTAAGAGGAAGCTGGACGAAGCCGAGTCGAACATCAGGAGGCCGCTGGGGGTTTGAAGAAGCAGCCGGGGAATTGCGTGGGGAACGCGCAGCAGAGTCGGTTGAATCGATTTTGTGATCCCTTGACTGACTGGTCTTAGCAGAGGCGGTTGGAGACCACCGACCTCTATCGAGTCGACGTGCAGTGGAAAAGCCAGCCAAAGCGAGTCACACTTCGTCACCGCTACAACGGCAGGGCGATCGTGTCGTTCGGTCACGGAAACGACGACATCCTGGTGAAGCTTTCGAACCGAGTCGCTGCCAGACTGCATTGAGTCTATTTTTTTTCATCAGATACAAGTCCCTGTGTGACTAAGGTTGCCATGTTGCGTGCGAATCCCGGGATTCTTGGAGCTGATCTTCGTTGCCGGGCAGGGGATGCACTGCAGGAGCTCGAAGACGAGCTGCAGAGGCAAGCAGTCCAAGCTGAGCCAGTCGTGGCTGCTCAAGCAGATGCTGTCTGAGGGTACTGCAGCAGCAGAACT